CTGCGGAGGAAGAGAAACGAGGGTCAGCGGGGACGACAAGGATCCGAAAGAGCAAAAAAACAAAATAAAAGGAGAAACGAAATGGAAGAGGAAGATGTCAAGACGAAAGAGCGAGGAGATAAAAGCAAATACCTTCACTTAGACATTTGGAAAATGACACACGCGCACATTTAATCCAACACAAAGTCTGCCAAGTAAAAATACAGAAGCTAAATTCAACTGGGAGTTACATAAGCCTCTATGGTACGAAGTTCGTGTGAGTTTGTTAGTCACACCACTCGGAGTGTGTCTATGGGTGTGGGTCCAAGAGCGAATAGGGGAAGGCTGGAGGGCGTGGAGGGAGGAGAGGGGGGGGAGGGGGTGTTTAGGGTACGTACCCTCAAATAACACCTACAGACTCAAGCGTGGCAGGCATCCCTTTCTCGTGTTACCAAGATGATACATGTGAGGTTCGAGAATGAGGAAAGTGCTGTGTTTTAACCATTGCTGTTATTGTTGTTGCTATCATTGTTGTTGTTGACTTTGTTGCTGATGTTGTTGACTTTGCTACTGATGATGTTGTTGCCGATGTTGTTGTTGCTGCTGTTGCTACTGTGTTAAATTGTGTGGCAAGAGTCAGCTCAACATCTGGCAAGTTTGCACGCTGAATCTCGATCTCTGCAACCCTCTCTGCAACATTTTTACATTGTTAAAACTCCCACAACAGTACCCGAGGGTGGCTCTCTATTATGCAGTCGCTGGCTATTCATCAGCTGTTGCTCTCAGGACAATGGAGGGAGGTCAAGACAGACGCAACAGCGAGTGAGATCCAGAACAAGAGAGAGAATTAGAGAAATAATGAGAGGAATAATGAGAACGAGAGAATGCGAGAGGAGAGAGAATAGAGAAAGAGAGAGAGAGAATGATAGAAAAAAAGAAAGAATGAGAGGTTGAGAGGGATACAGGGAGAAGGGGAAAGGGAGGACGGATGGAGGGAAAGCTAAATGTAAAAGGAGAGGGAGAGAGGGAGGGAAACAGAAGAGACGGGGATCGGGACGGGATGAGCGAAACCAAAAAATAAAAAAACGGACCAATCAGGGGATTCAAATGTCAGTGTTCGAACAAGGGAGAGCCTGGGCATTAAGGGGAAGGGTGAATTTAGGCCTAGTCGCCCTACGAGAATAAAATACAGAGAAGATAGGACAGGGAGGGAAAGAGGGAGCAAGGGATGGATGGGGAGAGGGAAAGAGGAGGAAGAGAGAGAGAGAGAGAGAGAGAGAGAGGAGAGAGAGAGAGAGAAGAGAGAGAGAGAGAGAGAGAGAGAGAGAGAGAGAGAGAGAGAGAGAGAGAGAGAGAGAGGGAGGGAGGAGAGGGAGGGAGGGAGGGAGGGAGGGAGGGAAGGAGGGAGGGAAGGAGGGAGGGAGGAGGGAGGAGAGAGGAGAGAGAGAGAGAGAGAGGAGAGAGGAGGAGGGAGAGAGGAGAGAGAGGAGAGAATGAATGACAAAGAGCAGATGGAAACAGGGCGTACACTGAGGTCGTGGAATATCAAATCGCGGAAATGCAAGGCCACTAAGAATATGAATGAATAAATAGATAAACACTGGACACGGCCGGAAGGAGGAAGAGGAAGAGGAACAAGACGAGGCGAAACACGAGGCGTAGGAGGAGGACGCGGACCACGAGGAAGCGAGGGCCAATTGGGAATTAATGCCGACCTGGAAGCCGGCCATGTACCGTGTTCTGAGTTAGACACGCGGTCTCCACGCACCAGAGCCCCCCCACCCCCACCCACCGGCCCCTCAACCAACGCCCACTTCCAAAGGATGAACAAAATAAGGTACATTCTTTTTCCCTTCCGGATTCTTAACGAAGGCTCCGCTGCTGGGCAACTAAGGTGTCCAGGGAGAGGGAAAGGTCACACCGGGCGTGGGCGGAACACGTGCCGTTGCCGCTCATTCAATACAGCCAAGGTAGGCGTATGTGGGCGGTCCTCTTGCTTGCGTGCCAGGGCGTTTAATCGCAAAGAATAACAAGCCAGGCAACTAATTTCCTTTGCTTCGCAGCCAAGCAGTGTTTTGTCTGAACACAGAGCAGCGCACATCTCCGCTCCAGCCTGTAGGTGGGCGCCCTCTCCCCCCCATCCCCCCACCCCCACCCCCGCCGGCGACCAGCTCGCTGGATTCACCCGCCGCTCTCGCCAAGCCATGCACAGCATAATGCTGCAAGGCCTGGCGTTCATTAAGGACTTCATCCCACTAATAAAGCTTAAATCCGCGAGGTTACGTATCAAGCGTAAGGCAAATTTACCCCAGCATAATTTACCAAAGGCTTTTTATTTCATCCGAAGTGCTTGCCGTGATTTGGGAATTAACCCGAAAGGCCCGCCAGCCAGAACTTAACCATGAGGAAAGGAGCCTCAAAAAAGACGTGGACGACCTGAAGATCTTTCCCCGCCCTCTTTCTCCCTCTATCATCTCTCTCTATATATATTTATATTCATGGTTTTAACTTTCTTCGGTTTAATTAATTAATCGAAGTATATAACGTCAAAAGCTCCCGTTTTCTTCGGTTTGGTCATTTATTCGACATATGATACGGGTCCAACTTAACAAATCTGAACATGCCTACTTATAATCATTAAATCATTTGATATCGTAGACATGTACATAAGTATCCTTCATCTTCATCTTCATCATCATAAAAAGTTCAGATATTCAAAAATTTGAAAATACTGACAAATAAAAACAACAGCGCTATTTTTGATCACTTGCTCGCAAATAGCACTTATTTATTTACGAATATCTTTAATTATTTATCTCAAATCCTAACTTAAACTCTTCATTATTTCATTTTGAATAACGGAAGTGTAAATCAAACTTGAAATTATCTTAAGGCCTCGAAAAGTAAATCGTAATTCACAGATATCGCTGTAGCATACTTCGTTAATCTTCTCATGCGTTTGCTAGTGAAAGATTTACAAAACCACAAAATAAAAACTTGTTAACATTATTGCACTGATAGAACTTACAATTTCTGGCGTTCTCCAGGTGTTGACAATATCATAATTCATTACATTGAAGGTTTTTAATACAAGTCACATTCCGAGCTTCAAAAACAAATGGCCGCTCACACATGGCTGGCTTTTCATCCGCCTCTCAACAGAGGGCAGCACCTACGTTGGCGGGAAATTTAAAAACTTGACCAGGTATTTCTTCTTTCTCTCTCTCTGTCTCTCTGTCTGTCTCTCTCTCTCTCTCTCTCTCTCTCTCCCTCTCCTCTCTCTCTCCTCTCTCTCTCTCTCTCTCTCTCTCTCTCTCTCTCTCTCTCTCTCTCTCTCTCTCTCTCTCCCTCTCCCTCTCCCTCTCCCTCTCCCTCTCCCTCCCTCCCTCTCCCTCTCCCTCTCCCTCTCCCTCTCCCTCTCTCTCCTCTCTCTCTCCCTTTTCAGGCAATAACCCACAAAAGGCCCAAAAGATGGCTCTCGGGTCAATCGTTTCAAAGGCCATTTCGAAGTTGCTGGCGCCGGCGTCGTCTTCGTGCCGGACCTAAACTTGCAAACAACACTGCAACAGCGCTCACCTGGAGGGAGGACTCCGCTAACTTTCCTTTAATAACTCTTCAACTTACACGGAACTACTTCATATGGTCCCTTAATACTGTTTCATATATATATATCCTATACACACGCACACACACACACACACGCACACACACACACACACACACACACACACACACACACACACACACACACACACACACACACACACATAATACATAATCCCTGTATACACGTGTGAAAAATACCAGCATAATATGTGGCACACTCTTCGTGGTCGGCATCTAAAGGCAGTTGCTAAACCTTTCCTCATTAACGCCAGCGCCACCGGGAACAACACACTCGCATTCACTCAACGCTTCGTGTCATAACCGCCAATGGTAATGATGATCGATGCTGATTGATGATGATGCTCGTGATGACGATGATGATAACGACAATGATGATGACAACGAATATGAAAATGCCAGTGTCGCAAAAAACCAAGCCATTAATGATGACGAAGCCACGATTGGCGACAATCCTCAACAGCGAGGAGGGGGAAGGGCGGGGTTTTTGAAGAGGAGAGAGAGAGAGAGAGAGAGAGAGAGAGAGAGAGAGAGAGAGAGAGAGAGAGAGAGAGAGAGAGAGAGAGAGAGAGAGAAGAGAGAGAGAGAGAGAGAGAGAGAGAGAGAGAGAGAGAGAGAGTAGAGAGAGAGAGAGAGAGAGAGAGAGAGAGAGAGAGAGAGAGAGAGAGAGAGAGAGAGAGAAGAAGAGAGAGAGAGAGAGAGTAGAGAGAGAGAGAGAGAAGAGAGAGGAGAGAGTAGAGAGAGAGAGAGAGACAGACAGACAGAAAGAGAAGAGAGAGAAGAGAAGAGAAAGAGAAAGAGAGGTGTACAGGACAGAGAGGGGGCAGGTGAAGGAGAGAACGACCATCTCCCTACGAAACACACACGAACACGAACAAAAAACAAACCCCCTTTACAAGATTTCCGAGCAAGGGGAAGGGATGGGCGTGAGGCGTGCCTGGCTCTCGCTCTCTCCATCCCCGACGCCCGACAGTCACCGCGGAGGAGAGGCACTCGACGCCCGAGGGGAATCGCGGCAGACATCGGCCGGCGCGAGGGAGAAAGGGGAGAAGAGGAAAAGGGGAAGGTGGGAGAAAGGGGGAGAGGAGGAGGAGGAGGAGGAGGAAAGGGGGGGGAGGGGAGGAGGAAGGGGAGAGGAGGAGGAGGAGGAGGAGGGGAAGAAAGGGGGAAAGGGGGAAGAGGAGGAAGGGAGGAGGAGAAAGGGGAGGAGGAGGAGGAAGAAAGGGGGAAGAGGGAATGAGGAGGAGGGGGAGTGAGGAGGAAAAGGGGAGGAGAGGGCGGAGAGGGGGTGCGAGGGAGAATGAGGGAGGGGAGGAAGGAGAAGGAGGAGGGGAGGAGGGAAGTGGAAGGAAGAGGGGGAAGGAGTTATGACAGGTAAGAATGGGAAATGGAAGAGG